TAAGTTATTTTGAACTCGCAGTTCAGTACATAGTATAACTACGTGACCATGGCAAGGAAAAACGACGCAAAAGCGCAGATGATATCAGTATTGACGACTCGCTGTGCTGACAACAGACTGGCGAAGCTGACCGATGGTGCAAGTAAAGAAGTTGGAAGCTATGAAAAGCTGGCTGCAGCGTTGGCTCAGCAGCAGAGAAGAAGCTGGCAGAGCGCAGATAAAAATGCCAATGATATTTTCGCTCTGCTAAAGTTGGGGAATTGGGAGATCAGTCTTTTGCAGTCACGCAGTGGAACACATGGTATAAATACGCCACCATGCTGGTGATAATATCAGTGATGACAGCTCGCTATGGGGACGACGTGCTGGCCAAGATGCTCGAGGTTGTGAGGAAAAAAGAGGCGACTGAGGAAGTGGCGACACAATTCCAAATTACTCAATTTACGCAATGGCTGAACGACCGAAAAAAAAACCGCGAGTGATTTGAAAATGTTAGATATGAACAAAGCAAAATGGATGACATACCCGAACGCGCAGGTTTGGTACCGGTACAATAACTTCCACAAGGTTAACAAACCCCAGAGTTAGTGGCCAGTAAATACGAGAACACTGTTCGGGTGATTAGTAGCTATTACAATAGCTACTTGGTCCAACCGTGTGTACGCTAAGCAACGATGAGCAGATTAGTAGGCCACCCCAGGTTGTAAAGCCTGTTAACAATTTATTACCCGCTACGCTATCCTCGTGGCGATGCATGCTCGATGCAGTTGTCCCGCTAGTTGGTAATTCTTCCTTCACAGGTCAGAACTAACGTCATCAGAGCAAGACCACTGATAGATAATTGTAAAAAGAGTGCTTTATCTAAGCTGTTACAAGGTATTGACAAGCGAGAACGCTAAAACAGAGACACAAAAGCACCAGGATGTCGCTATTTCGCCTCGGTTACCAACGTACAATGCAAAACAGAACAATACTCACAGCTCCGACATCTCCCGACGTCTTTGATAGCTTAGCACTTGACGGTGCTGGGCTGGCCGTTGCATGTGCCCGTCTTGGATGCCTTCACCGTGACACCCGAAAACTTCCAGTTCGACACGACCTTCGAGTTCGCCACGATGTTGTACAGGTTGGTGGCCGTACCCGAGAGACCCGAGATGGTCACGTCCTTGATGGTCACGGCGCTCGTGGCCTTGCCGGTGTATCCGCCCTTGGACTTGCTGTAGTCCGAGTGGATCACGATGGCGTTCTTGACGTTCGACAGTTTGTTGTTCGTGTAGTGAGTTAAATCAGAATGAGCAGTCCGTCAAACATAAAACAGATATTAACGTGGGTTAGTTTGTAGTTCTACACGTCGTTGTGTCATCCCACAAAAGGGTATCGTGTTTAAATGATTTTGCTGTTCTGAATCGTAGCTTGGACCAGGCACAGATTCATGCATAAGCGACGTTCGATTTGCAACTCATTCCAGCCGTGGCATCCTCTCAAACAAGTGGAAGTGTAACGTGGCGTCGGTTTAAAAGTTCATTTCTCTCTTCGAGGGCATCCTTACTGCTCCGTAGTGATGGAAGCATGATTGCACTTCCATACAGCAAAACCCTGTCAAGCTTTATTGTTGAAGTCACATCATTAAACGCCTGTCTCTATGGGAGATGCGACTATCAAATCCTTTCTCTAGTCGCTACACACAGACGCCTGTCTCAAATTGACATGACGACAGGAGCTCGTCTACAGAGGTTAAATCTGTATGATACAGAACATGCAATGCACGCGCGATGATTGTAGCGCGTAACGTTATTTCGTCAGCGTGATCGGCAAATCCAGCGTGAACCAGCCACTACGATCCTTGCACGCTTCTTTCTGCTGACTGCTGACTGCTTCGCGCTCATAAAGAAGTGTGTCTGCGCATCTACATCGACCTAATGTCTAAAGCTTTAACGGTAGTGGTGATAGGATTGGTTAGAGCATAACTGATCTCCCCACTACTCGGGTCAGCATGGGCGCGTAGACCTCTGTTTACAAGTACGCATTCCAGCTCACTTGACTAACTTGGTGCGCTACGGAGCTACATATCCTAGTCGAACCAGCTCGAAATATCGCACACAACTCGAAAAGACCCGTCTTCAGACGAATTGACATACAAGTTGTACTCAATTAGGGGAGAGAGGGGTCGATCCCTTCATAACGACACGAAAAGAGGTCGATCATCGACCTCTTTTCGTGTCGCTAGTTTTGCCTGATCGGTGGCTGATACTTCAATGATACGATAACCTGGTATCAGTCGCCAAGGATGCAAAACGATCATTGCATCAAAATGATATGGGTTTCAAAAAAAGCAGCGTGAAAAACGATAGTTCGCGATCTGGTTAGAATACATAAGGTTCGGAGCAAGCGCCGCATTCACACATGGGGTGGGACCTGGGTCAACGTACCGACTGGTTCTAACAGCCCAACGACCGGAGCGACAAAAGACCTGGAACCACGTACCATACAAATATGCTGATCAACTTGCACGTGATCAGTCTCCAGTGTCACTGGTGTCCCTCTCCAACGATACCATCAGTGATTCAAGTTCTTCATCTACTCTGTTTCTTGAGCTGTGGCATCTAGTATCATTCTGCTTTTTGCTTTCTTACCAAATAACCACCTCAAACTCCTAACCAGCCATGAAGAACCTCTCCACCGCGCTCACCGTACTCGCTCTCTTCTCCGCCACTATCAACGGGTCACCCATGTTGCGCCAGGAGGCTGAAGCCTCCAGCTGCACGCTCTCTGGCACCTACAAGTCCGGCACGGACATCTCGTCCTGCAGTACGCTCACCATCGGCACGCTCACCGTTCCAGCCGGCGTCACGCTGGACCTGAGCAAGGCCAAAACGGGCGCCAACATCAAAATCTCAGGCACTGTCACGTTTGGTGAGAAGAAGTGGGCCGGTCCACTCGTGCTACTCGGTGGTACCAACCTCAAAGTCAGCGGTTCTGGCACGCTAGACGGCCAGGGTGCCTGGTACTGGAAGCAGGGCACATCCATCAGTCGTCCCGTCTTCTTCCGTCTGCACGGCGTGACAGGTTCTACACTCTCGGGCTTCAAGATCAAGAACTCGCCCTACCGCACCTTCAGTATCCTCAACTCCGAGAAGACCACAATCAGCGGTCTCACCCTCGACTCGAGCGCTGGTGATGGCACGGCCAAGAACACGGACGGCTTCGACCTTAGCAAGAACGACTACGTCACGATCACGGGCAACAAGATCTACAACCAGGACGACTGTCTCGCCATGCAGTCCAGCACCAACACGGTCTTCAGTAACAACTACTGCAGTGGTGGCCATGGTATTTCCATTGGTTCGCTCGGAGGCTCCAGCGTCAGCTCGGCCGACACGGTCAAGGGTCTCACGGTCAAGGGCAACACCATCGTCAACAGCGTCAACGGCATCCGCATCAAGACCATCGTGGATCTCAAGGGCCTCGTGTCCGACGTCACGTACACGAACAACAAACTGTCGAACGTCAAGAACGCCATCGTGATCCACTCGGACTACAGCAAGTCCAAGGGCGGATACACCGGCAAGGCCACGAGCGCCGTGACCATCAAGGACGTGACCATCTCGGGTCTCTCGGGTACGGCCACCAACCTGTACAACATCGTGGCGAACTCGAAGGTCGTGTCGAACTGGAAGTTTTCGGGTGTCACGGTGAAGGCATCCAAGACGGGCACATGCAACGGCCAGCCCAGCACCGTCAAGTGCTAAGCTATCAAAGACGTCGGGAGATGTCGGAGCTGTGAGTATTGTTCTGTTTTGCATTGTACGTTGGTAACCGAGGCGAAATAGCGACATCCTGGTGCTTTTGTGTCTCTGTTTTAGCGTTCTCGCTTGTCAATACCTTGTAACAGCTTAGATAAAGCACTCTTTTTACAATTATCTATCAGTGGTCTTGCTCTGATGACGTTAGTTCTGACCTGTGAAGGAAGAATTACCAACTAGCGGGACAACTGCATCGAGCATGCATCGCCACGAGGATAGCGTA